GTTGTTTCATCGATTATTCATGATCGATAGTCATACCAAAATCAATGGAGAAATAGTCAGTAGACGAGGGATTTTCATTTCCGCTAAGTAGTGAAATGATCTTACTTTTCGGCCTTCAGTCTGGAAAGGTGTTGGCGTACAATCCCTGTAGCTGAATTAATCAACGGATATCGTTTTTGAAGCCGACACAAATCTCTACTTCCGCTGAGGGAAATCGAATGCTCCTAAAGCTTAACGAATAATGTTTTTTTTCTATGGGGGATGTTAATGTACTTGTCAGTATTGTTTTGTTCTTATGGTTGTTTTTTTTGGTCGTTTTCAGTAAAATTTTTGTGTGTGGAACTTATAAAATTCCCTATGGTCCCTACAGTGTTCTGCAATGTAACTAACATAAAAGAAAAGAGGTATCCACTTTGATTTATTCGGAAGACTAGTCTTATTGAAATTAACCGGCTTAGAAGTCAGGCATTGGTTGAAGCTAAAATGTTCCTGTTACGACGGTTACATAGATCAGTAGACGGGAAATAATATAACACTGTTTGATGATCAAATACAATTCTCGTGGTTCTCCCGCCTTCAACGAGACTTCGGCGGCCATTCACGTCTAAGGTCTATTGTTCACCCTGAACACAGATTCAGTCGTGTTACCATTGCCATCACGTTGTAAAGCACTTATTCCATCGAATAATATATAATATGTTATATATGATTATCATGTATTGTTATTCTACTCACTTCTCTCATTTTGCTCTCTCGTGTTACCGCCGTGAAATATCCGGTTAAGTACATGTTTTTTTCAGATTGATTGATCTATTATGTTGTATTTGTGTCAGAAACAGGGCAATGTTTATATAATTGTTTCAATAAGTTGGCATCGTACACTGACGGTAAGGGGGCGCTCTCCTATTGACATCCGCGCACCTTCGGTGGGCTGGGTTTGTCAATTGATTTTCCATTTTCTTTGGGGGGGCTAAATCCGCGCGTGTCGTACTGCACACATCTAATACCAAAGTTGTGATAAAAATGGTTCTTGATATGAAAATGCAGAATTAGATATAGCTAGGAATATAATTTAAGGTAGCGGGACTATTATTTGCATACTTGTTTTCATCTTCTAATTGTGACTAAATGACTACAAATAGACCCGGGAAAGTATATATTTTTAGAATCGCCAGACTTCAAGCTTTTCACAGGTGTATTTTGCATGCCCGTATCTGCAATCTACGACGCGTTACTCAATCAAAGTTGAAAAATTACTTTTTCTGTAAAAAAAATAATTACGCATTTATGCTGGCGATAAGAAGTATTTTTTCCACTTTTCCTAGTTGTTCAATAGTCTGGTAAATTGAATGTGTCTGGTTAGTTTTATTCAAGCAACGCGTTTTAAAAAATAGTATCCTAAATTTCAATTACTGTTTTAGTCGCATTGCCCCCAACTCAAACCACAACTCGTTGGTAAATAATCGATGAAATAGTTTGTCTGGATACATTCAAGTTCCTCGCATTGTCACCTTAAAGCTGTGAAAATTTGGTGTTAATCCGACGACAATAAGTATACGTTATTTTTTGTTAAAGACCTTGTATTAATAAAGGAATGGGATAGCTATAATTGGATAAATTCGGCATATGAAAACACCAAAATTTTTTTCAGTGGCTGTGTGACCTTGTGTCTGACACATTCATATGCAAATGACTAATCTGTGAAACAAACAGGGGCGGAGACAAACCACTCAAATGTTTGGAAACACTCATTGTGTGTCAGATAGCTACTGATAACACATCCTAACATTACTTTGTCTTGAGTTTATCTTTGAAACTTATAGGCACACAGATTAAACCTGTGTTGTTGATTTTGGAAAACACTACTGAGGCTGCCTTGCTTCTCTTCAGAAAATCTATATTTTAACCAACTTACATGACATTCTATGTTATATTGACTTTATCATATGAAAGTTTATGGTGCATTTCATCAATTAATAAATAAATGTGAAAATCGTAATTTTCAACACAAATAATAGTCTCGCTACCTTAAATCATGCAAAAGAACTCTCATAAGAGAAAAGAACACAGCAGAACATCAACAGATATCAACATTACAGCTTGAAACAACATTAGAAACATATGTAATAACATCCATACCAACTTATGGGTGTGTAATCTGGAGTTTACATAAATAAATATATTTAAGCAACGTTGCAGAGATATAGACTCGCAACAGTGGTCAGCTGCAGTAAATGACAGCCCAAAACTTGTAACATATAGATGTTTTAAAACTACTTTTGGTTACAAGAGTTATTTACGTAATTTTGATAGATCACATTTGTTAAATGTGCTTTGTAAGTTTAGAATATCAGCACATACTTTACACATTGAGACAGGCAGGAGACAAAACGTTTCTAGAAATGAACGTTACTGTAATTTTTGTCGTGTTATCGTTGAAGACGAGTTTTATTTCCTATTATGCTGTCCACTTTATTCTGACATAAGGAAAACATACTTACCAGCTTATTATTATACTTACCCAGATCCAATTAAATTTAATAACTTAATAGAAACAAATAACAAACATTTACAGAGAAACATAGCATGCCATTTAATACAAGCATATACTATACGAGATAGTATTTAAAATGTTGTTTTTCTTTTCTTTTGTAATCTTTACTAGCACTTCTTGTACTTATTATTTTTGTAACATTCTTTGTAAATAAGGCCGGAGGCCAAAGTACTGAATAAATTATTATTATTATTATTATTATTATT